ACTCTTTCCAGTATTTTGCTATTATAAATAATGCAGTGATGATCATTTATGTTCAGAAAACCATGATGATTTCTGAACTGCAGCATCACATTTGACAGAATTTTTCACTGAACCCTTATTAACATGATGGAAGAATGTGGGCTGTATAAAAGCTCTCATTGGTACAGTCAAGACTGTTTAAATAACATACTCTGAAATAGTTTATCAATGCATCCGTTATAAAGGTCTATTGAGGTCTTCCATGAAAAATATTTTTCAGTGCCATTTTCAAATTTTGTATGAAGAACTTCGAAGAACACACTGGCATTATAATGTTTGCTTTATCTTTGTCTTCCTCCGGGTCCATTTTCCACCTTTCCCTGCTCTACTTTATGGCAGAGATGGGACTGATCCTTACAGAGGTCTTGTGTGCTTCCTGTCTTTTTTGGAACCCTGTCACAACCTTGAGAACAAGTACAAGCTAGCCAACTGGCAGGTTCAAATCCTGTGAAGAGAGCTGAGTTGTTTCAGTGGAGGCCATTTTCAATCAGTCAACTAGCCAACCACCAGCTGAAGGCAGATGCTTGAACAAAGCCAAGTCAAGGTCAGAAGAAATGAGCCAAGGTCACCATAACTGACCAGCTGAACCAGACTCATGAGAAATTGTTTTTAAAAGGTGGTTGTTTAAAGTGACTGAGTTTGGGTTTTGTTTTTTGTTTTTTGTTTTTGTTTTTTACACAGCTAAAGCTGCATAGCCCATATTAGCAAATGACACAAAATTGGATAGAATAGCTAGTAGGTAGCCACTTTGGAATAATGGACGATAAACAGCAACAAGAATTAGAAAGGGGTTACATGTATAATTCTGATCAGTTGCTTTACTTGATTAAAAACTCATTAAAAACTATTAGGCTATGCTAAGACAAATAGTGTCCAGATACAGGGATGTCATGTTTTCCACTATATTTTCAGCAGATTCTCTCTGGAAATGTTGGTTGTATTCTAGAGGCTGATCTAGAGAAGAACGATTAGAATGGATCTAGAAATCATGTCATATGGAGCCAGTGCTATCAAATTAACTGGTTCAACTGTTTACCAAGTCAGCCTTTGATAAGATGAAAAAGCTTGTGCCACAATGTAAAGCAACTGTATCACTAAACAAGCTGTTGAATTCAGCTAGCTTTATTTTTTCATAGCAAGATTTTTTCAATGAAGAAAGCAGTATGTTGACTTATATTCTGCCATATTTCCTTATCTTGTTGTGGACCTATAATTATAGTTCCCAGAGGGTAAGAAACAGTCGTGGGTCAGTACTGGTCCACACGCCGAATATCTCTGAAATAGAGGAATGGTTGAATAAACTCCGGCTGCCTATCTCAGGGGAAAAAAAACCCCAAAAACTAAAAACAATCAAAACCCAATAATTGCGGCAGTGTCTCCAATATTTTAAACTGAATAGGGAGTAGATTTACTTTATATATTTTCAGAAGGAAGAATGAAGGGACAAAGGAAGGGAATAGATTTTAGCTCAATATAGAGAATCTTAAGAGTAATAAAATAAGCCACAAAGAGAAATACTGTCTTTATTCCTCATTAGAAATATTCACAATAGGGTAAGGAAGAGATTGAATTGGTAAGGTTAATGAGGCTTTCCAGTTCTATGATTTAAACATTCTCTTTTGTCTAGAAAAATTAAAAAAAAATTTTTTTTCTTTCTTCTTTAACATTCATTTGTGAACCCTTGTAGACTCCTGACCTTTTATTCTACAAAAGAAAAGAAAGAAAGAATGCAAATTGTACTTAGTTGAAATGATAACAAATAGGCATGTATGATGTCTACTTCAGATATGTTAAATACTCTAAGTTGTCCACTTATATTGTTGTCTTCTAGAGACAAATGCTTGGATGCGCAAAGTTGCTCATTAATTGTGTCTTTAAGGACACTGAAAAGAAATTTCTTAGACATGATCTATTTATTTCCCCAAATATACAATTGCAACATATTTAAATTATCGTTTGATAAAAGTGAAATATCATTAAAAACTATTTATATATTTGGAAAAGAAAAAACATTAGATACCAGTAGAATGTGAAGTCAGAAAAAAAAATTTTTGCTTTTTGTTAAAGTTGAAAATGAATAGTACCTTCAAGTGAACATTTCCTATGAGCTTTTTTTTTGATGTGATAATTCCATAGAAACCTATCCTTAATTCTTATATAATTTGAAGTCTCAAGCATTATATGTGAGAACTGAAACCATCCACACCCACATAGCTTACTGTATACATTAATATGATTTTACTATTTCACTGTCTTCATCAACATGACTTTATTATTCCAGGAAACTCTTGCTCAGAAAGATAAAAGTTTCAAGTAATTTTATTGTCTCAAGAACATATTGAAAGACTCATTTAATTAACATCAAACTGTTTGACTTTTCAACAGATAGTATCAAAATTTTCAAGACTCTTGGAAATCCTTGCTTTAATTAAATTCTCTCCTTGTTGCGTCTGCCAATCCTAAACTTTTATATTATGATCCTTACCTAATCCTAATCAAACTTTCACATTAAGAGAATTTC